TTGAAAAGCAGCATAAAGTGAGCCTGGCCTACCAAGGCCTAACTATACCGTACTAAGCCGAGTGAGGCCCTGCAATGGAAATGCACCATAAGTGGTTAAGTTAGCAGGCTAGCTTGCCAAATTACTTCCCCAGCTAAATTGAATTATAAACAGTCCATTACATGTCAGTTGTTAGACGCTTTTATCCAAAGGGAATAACATACATTCAGTACTGTGGCTAATCCCCACAGGAGCAATCTGGGGTGAAGTGTCTTTCCCAGGGACACAACGACATGCTGACTGCAGGGGGGGTGGAACTGGTGCTCCCCTGATCAGAAGATCAACGTACTAGCCCACTGAGCCACAGTCTCTCTTTACAATGTTAAGGTGTATAGTTAATGAATGCTTTTTACTAGCGAAGACCGATGCAACACAGGGACGGCTAACTAGCTGTAAGCTAAGCTAAGGTCAAGGTTAAGGTTGCAAACTGCAAGCTAGTTAGTATCTCGGAGCCAATGGACGAAATACATTATGGGAACATTACAGAAAGTAACGTTATTCCATTGATAATATCATGAAAAGGGTTTTATGAAAGTTACGTTTAGTACCTTTAAACAGTTACATTTGTATTTTCCCGTAGTAAAAAGGTTATTGAGAGTCACCTTTTTCAAATATTCCCTACTGTGTAAGTATGCACTGATTTTTTACAGGACACCTATCCAAAATCCAAAAGTCTTTAAGAGGAAAACTGAACCTAGTAACGTGAAGTTTCTAAACATTTAAGAGACAAGAATGATATTGTCAATGGCCCCCAGTGTACACAATCATACTAAGCGAATCACAGTGATGCTGTTTGTAGAGCTTTAGAAGATGAGCGGAGCAACCTTTAATTCTGGGATTACAGTAGTAAATCTTTAAGGACTATGTTGCAGGAATCAAGATTTAAGAGTTTGACTATAATAAACAGCTGTTTCAAATTACTGCCATTCGTTTCTATTTTCTATCTGACTTTAATTGAAATCCGCCCTGCTGTCCTTGCTTCACGGTTCCCCCTCAGGGAATGGCAGGATAACTTCCCTGCCAACAAAAGTAGGAGCTCACAAAAGACTTTCTCCTTCAAAGTGGCCTCTACAAACATTGCAGTGTCTCCCTAGCATTAAGTTGACTCCAGGTGACTGGTGGTGCAGTCTCTCACCTCCCCAGCACTGTGGCTGCGCTGGCGGCTCAGGTGCTGGCGGTGGGCCAACAGCCCAGTGGAGCGAGAACTCTGGAGGGGGAGCCGGGGGTCAATGAAGGTCGTAGAGCGACAGTTGTGGTCCACAAAGAAGGCCTGAGGATTGAGATGTCATGCATGGATAGACTTAACACATCTTTATATGCAGAATCAATAACAACAACAAATCAGCAGTAACTATATTGGACAATGACTGGACACACATGTAGGGTTGGGGTGTAGTAATACATGGAATTAAGATTATGAAAATGTTAGGAGGCGTGTGGCGCAGTGGGTTATTGCGTTTGTGTTCGGATCAGGGTTGAAACGCCACTGCAGTCAGCATGTCGTTGTGTCCCTGAGACACTTCACCCCAAATGGCTCCTGTGGGGATTGCCCACAGTATTGAGTATGTAAGTCTCTTTGGATAAAAGCGTCTAACAAGTGACATGTGATGTAATGAAACAAAAAAAACTTTTCTCTCACAGATCCAGATTGTTGATACATTTAATACAAATGGGGATATGTAAAATTATAATTTCAAATACATTTTAAAATAAACTATAATACACTATCATGCTCATGTGCACATTTAACAAAACTTCACAAAAGAAGTCTCACACTGGGCCTTTATTAGGTGGAAATGTGGCCATTATTTTGTAGGTAAAGCAGAATAAAGGGGCAGTATCACATTACAGAGTAAGTTATTGCAAAAAGATATCAACGTGAAAACAGTTGATAGGCAATGAGCACATTAGGTAACGATTAAAAGTAACGGAAATAATTTAAATTAGGTGACTTTAATATTGTGTTACTTGGATTAGATTACTGAATTTAAATGTTTTTTTTCTTTTTTTAAAGATAATTAATAAATGAGCTTCATGGTTGAGTTATCTCAGGTCAAAAAGCCAAGGTGTGGGGTCACAACCCCCCCCCCCACACACATACGACACACACTCACACACCTTCCCAGTTTGGTCGTGCTTCATCTCCCAGCCCCGGGGGAGCTCCAGCTGCTTGTTGGAGAACATGTTGAGGAAGGTGACAAGGTCACGGTTGTGCTGGTAGCGTTCAAAGTAGTGAGCGTCCCGGCGCACCTTGCTGATCATGTGCTTCAGGCAGGTGTTGCTCGTAAACATGCGGTAGGCACTCTGAGCAGAGAGGGCAGAGGGGGGGCATCAGAGACAAGAGGACAGATTTGAGGTCTTTTCACTTCAATCACTCAAAATGCAAGACAATGTGGATAATATTATTTTAACACTAGTTGTTGTTGTTTTTTGGACGAAATGTCCTGAAACCAGTGAATTGAAAATCATTCAAAGTAAACGCTTGACATAACAGTCTTATATATAATGTGTTGGATCAGTGCTGCATACAGCATGGTGTTAACAATATGCAAATGAAATCATTAAGATGTGAAATAATGAAAAATTGAAACGGTATTATAGCAAATTATTCATTAAATGATGGAGTAATTTGTTTTTTTGTTTTTTTTAAACTAAATTATGAATCCCATTGTCTATACATGGTCTATGCCCCATAAAACGTGAACCCAATCTATCTGCAGGGCTAGGTACAATGCGAAAACAGGGAAAATTACGAGTTAGGGTGACTTCAGTGTGTGTGCTTGTATATTGGGTCTGTGTGAGGGGTGGGGGGTCACAGATGTGGAACTGACAGGGTTAGAATGCAGCACGGTGAAGAAATCGGGGCTGCACAGGAACTTGGCACTGGGGGACTGGAGCAGCAGGGAGAGCCGCGAGCGGCCGCTGGAGTGAGCCACTGCACTTTCTCGCCGGTATTCTGCAAAACAAATTAACACACACTGGTCAAACTTGTAAACCGGAGCAATCTTTTTATGAATATCACACATTTGCACATTTTTTCTCCAGCATTCTTTGTCAGGGATGTTAAAGAAACACACCCACAGACTATTGCTACTCTGAGACATTTGTTTACATATGTATATCATATAAAACCAATTCTGTGCATGGCTTACCGTAGTATTTCAAGAGATGAATCAATTACAAGAGGTGAGTCATTTAATTGGGCCATAATGAGTGTAGCGTTCTTGTGTAAATAACCTCTGATGTTTCTGTTTGTGTGTTTAAAGTCTAATGAAACCCACCCGTAATGGAGTGAGGCATCAATTCACTCTCTGGTTCAGGAGGCAGGTCCACCGGGTTCTCCTCTGGCCGGTCGCTGTTGGTGATGGTCCTCCTGATGCTCTGGTACCTGTGGTGCACAGCAAACATAAAGTTACTGCTGGGAAAAGACAGTTTTCCCCTATTCTAGCATAAAATGCCAAAGGAGGTAACACAATTGTGATTTAGCATATGGCGCATTGATAAAAGCCCTTGCCTCTGCAGTATTACAAATCGGGGTCCAACAGGGTCACAAGCCATGAGAGCAAAAAGCACACCTATAAGTGCCGCTTATAGCCAAAGGTGACGCCAAAGAGAACTACATGCAGTTTATTTTTCAGTCAAATCGAAGTGTGAAACACAGGCTTTTTTACAGAAGAGAGATGAATCCAAAAGTTGCTGGTGTTTCCCTAGTGGAAGAGGTTATATATGCTTTTTTAGTTACATTAGTTAGATAATAATGAACCCCCTGGTTAAGTGAGATATTGAACATCTGAAAATAGGGTTTACATTTACAAACACAATGGTTATGGCACCAAAGTGCTCTTCACAAAGCCAACCTGCGGTTGAGTTGCTCCATCTGCTGGATGGAGTTGGAGCGGGTGAGGCCCTGTGGCGCCGGGGGTCCGGTGGGACGCTGCCATGTAGTGGTTCTGTTTACGTGATCCACAAAGAAGATCCTACCATGGCTGTCAATCCGAGCCTCCCAGTCTGGGAGGATAATCATAATAATAAGCTTAAAAAAAAAAAAGTGTTCATAATAGCCAACAACTAAAGACAACATCAACAGGTGAATTTAATGCATATACTACCTCAGGCTGTTATGAGCCCTGTTATCTTAAAATCATCTGTGGTCAGAGAACTTTTATAATTCACATATTTATTGACATACTACAGCAGGGCTTCTCAAACTCCGGACCAAGGTCCGGATCGAACTGCAAATCAATCCAGACCGAACCCTGTGTCCCATTATAAAAAATAAATATCATACAAATTTTAAAAAAAAAAACTTTTGGATTCTGATGTAAATTAATGTATATGTTCTTGTGTCTAATGCGTTGTGAGAATGAACGTGCATAAATATTTACTTGTGTGCGCGAGCGTGACACGCATTGCAGACCGCAACGGTTAACTGCAAGTTGACCTTGACTTTCTAATGCTTCTAATGCCTTTTTGCCGAGGTTCAAGGTATTGGCTACAGACAAACAGTGACATGTCTCCTACTAGTCCAAGCCACCATACTGTATGTATGAATTGAATTGAATTGAATGTGTGTGTGTGTGTGTGTGTGTGTGTGTGTGTGTGTGTGTGTGTGTGTGTGTGTGTGTGTGTGTGTGTGTGTGTGTGTGTGTGTGTGTGTGTATACAGGGGCGCCGTTTGCCGACAGGCAAGGCAGGCAAGTCCTTGGACCAGAAGGGGGCCCCCAAAGAACGTAGATTAAGAAGATCCACAGCAACATGAAACACACTTTAATTTACTGCAACGACATTTCGGGAAACCCCGGGGCCCCATGCATAGCGCGCCGTAAGAAACTGCTTCTCGCAGCGTCCACACGGCGGTGTGCGTTGCAGCTTGCCAGCGGGCGTGTCTTGAGGGGGGGGGGGAGACTTTACTGGCATTGATCCGGACCAGTGACCTTGTATAAAATTCACAAGTGGACCTTGAATAAAAAAGTTTGAGTACCCCTGTACTACAGTATGTGCATTCTGCTTAGCATTGAAAACGCTAAGAGATATGCTAATGGCTCAGACAAATGCTAACATAAGAATGCTAACATCTTCAAAATTACAATGCTAATATGCTGTTTAGCAATTTTACTTTTTGTCCTGTAGTACCATGTCATATGAACACAATTTTTGGGGGAACAACTTTTAACAGTAACAAAGCGATATAAAATATTAAAGCTTCTTTGAGATTAAAGTCACACATTTAAGAAAACAATTGTTGAACACAAAACCGACTATTTGATTTTCTTGAGTTGTACTACTTTAATCAAAACAAAAAAAAAAGGTTCTTGTAAATTCACAAATTTTAGAGTTTTTTTACGGAAAATACCACTCATTCTATAACACATAGGTTTGAGCAAGCTCTCTGATTGGTCAATAGGCGTGTTTGGTTCCACGATCAAACAACGATCAAATAGAACGTGCCTAATCACAAAGTATCCAGTGGCCTACACACGACACTAGCCTACCGAAACTACTTCCATGAGCCTACATCGTGTGGTTTCCATAGCGACGTTTAGCGACACACAGCCATTACACTGTTATACATTGTCTCTCGTTAGCGGACATAAAAACGAGTCATCGCTTCGCAGCTACTGGGCTCCATCTCTAGACAACAGAAAGATGTGGACCAACGCGCTTTTTGCCGGTCCGGGACACGCCATGAAACGGCCACTGGAGGAAAGCTCTTCCTATAACGTAGTCCTACCCGTGAACACCACAGCACCAACTGCAACATTTTTTGGCATGGAGAGCTGTTTCAAGAATTGCACTTTTAATGGCAGCATGAACATCCACCTTCATTCTGAACCCAAAATGTTTCAGCACCATGGACAGCCTGATTTGATTTGTTCCGCTAATCCCACACAGTGATTACTCAGATATTTAAATAGCCTAATTCAAGAATTGTTTTCAATAAATTGTTTTCAATAAATTGGTTAATAATATATTATTTACTATAATTAT